TGCCTATACTCTGATTACATCAATGCTACTGGAAAGGGTTCACTCACCACAAACCTGGGCCCTGCTAATAGCCTATATACTAAACTGAAACACAAGGGACAGGATAGGGAGAATCCTAGTATGAGCCCTGGAATATATCAGTATGCCATTTATTAGCTATTAGTCTGGGTTCAAAAAGCATCTTTTATAAAAAGCTGGAAAAGTTTCACAGACCAAATCTTTTACCCTCTGAAAACATCCTACAAATTTTTCAATTGCATTTAAGAACATAGGAAGTAGCAGTCTACAAAACTGCCACACATGCAAATATGATTGTTTGTCCTCAATGGATGCTATTACGTGCTTTTTCCTGCTTTGAGCATGATAGGAAGCAAAATGGTATTTTTCCATCACTTCAGCTACCTATTTTGTATATTCCTGTACACAGACCCAGTGAAAGCTTCAACGTATGTGGACCAATTGAAATCTCTACTCTTCCTGCCTGTCCCTTTCTTCTTCCATTAGCTAGACAATCTTCAGGGATCAAGAAACACAGCCTAAACTTCAGGTCACATGAACTCTTCTTAGAAACAATGCTGTCTTTATTTCACATTGACTAAAAGTGATCAGCTGCCCTCCTCCTGGCACCTCTGAGGAGATGCTTAACAACTGCACCAGCAGAGGCCACTTCACTTAAACTGCTAAAGACAAAGTTGTATTTAGAAACATGCACTGCTCATTTACATAAACAGGAGAGCATGGAAACCATACTGGAGGCTGTTTGTGAGAGTTTTCCCATGTACCTATAGTCTCTTGCTCTGTGTTCTTTGTTAAGCACTGGTGCATCAGAAACCCCAAGAAAGCAAACAAGGTTACTCCTTGGGGTTCAATTTTAAACAGGGAAGAGATCTAGGTTAGATGTAAGGAATAAGTTCTTCCCTGTAAGGGTGCTGAGGCGCTGGCATAGGTTGCCCAGAGAAGCTGTGGCTGCTCCATCCCTGGCAGCATTCAAGGTCAGGCTAGACAGAGCTTCCAGCAACCAGCCCTAGGCAGCAGGTTGGAACTGGATGATCTTAAAAGTTCCTTTCCAACCCAAACCATTCTGTGATTCTAAATCGTATGAGAAATCAGAAGTTAATACTGAAAAAAATTAACACTGGAAGTTGGAGCTCCGACAATTGAAAAGAACAAAACAGCATATACTCAAATTACCCATAGGAGCAATGAGAGAGAAAAATCACTTACTAGAGGAAGTGGCTTAATATTTTTAAATGGAAGGCAAATCGTCCTTGTTCTCTGAACTGAATAGGCAAAATAAACTAATGCCAATCTAAGACTTTGAAAACCTATTACCTCTCCACAGATGGGTAAGTCTTATTCTTAGCTATCAATTTCTTGCTCTCCAACTTGCAACAGCCAACCTGAACATCCGATATTATTATTCAGAAGAGCAGAAAAAACAAGACAGCTCCAAGAAGTGCATCATGAAGAAGAAACAGATAAATATGTGTGGCTAAACAAAGATGAAATTAGAGACAAAAAACTTAGCAGCAAATACACAGAGAATGCAGCTGTCAACAAGTAAAGACATGGAAAAGGCTGACAGAAAATGAATATCAACATTTAAATAAGAAAGTGCGCTATGGTAAAATTATTTATGGATTAGAAATACAGCAGATGACAAAGATTCCCTTACTAGAATATGGAGTGACTAAGACATTAAAAATACAGTTACAAAAGGAAATAAATCCTACAATAACCAAGGTGATGGATCACGAAGTGCATGTATTTGCTGGATTAAAAAAACCACAACACACAAAAACCCAAACCAAAACAAGAAGAAACACAACCAAAGAAACCCAAGTATCTTCCTTCATTTTCATTTACAGCATGTTTATCTTGCACCAATCACCTCAGCACTACTTAAAAATTCCTTTCAAAGTCCAGAATAATCTTGTTTTGAATTTGGTAGCATCTCACAGCTGAAGCATCAAACTTCAGCTGAGATCTCTTTTAGCTGATCTTTGCTCAGCCATACCAAAGCATTACAAAATTATTTTAGAGACTATCGCTTAATAGTAATAAAAAAATCCTCAAAATAAATGTTTTTAGCAGAACTCAGATTACTTCATAATGAAAGAACGTCCATAAGCTTTTCAGGCTTAAGTATTTTCCATTCTGAGCGTTGCTTGCCAAGGAGGAAGGGAAACCTGGCAAACTCTGAGGACAGAAAACAGACTTGGACAAAAAGGAAAAGCCTCCAAGGGACCATAAATGCCCCCACACTTCCCCAAAGGTGACTGCCGCGGTGTCATGTTCAATGCCACCTGTGTCGGGTTTAGTGACAAATATGTTCATTTAAAAGCAGGAAATTTATATCTTAAGGCTGAAATGGGTAAATGTGTACAATTTAGGGAGAGAGGACCTCAACCTCCTGCCTCCCCAGCTCCCACATTTTTAACAAGTGGCTGTTCTGTGCTGTGAAATGAGCCAGCCATTGGATCATTTGTTACTTGCCGGAACAGACGGACATATTTTCATCCACCACTGAGTGGTGCTGTTACTCTTGAAACGAGTTTCTCCAGCTCTTTAAGTGTATTTGCAGACCAGGTATTTCTGGGATTATCTACAGCTTTCAGTCGTGTTTCATTTTAGAAAAACAGAGGGAATTGAAAGGAGAGGTTTAGAGCCGCTTTAGCTCTCATTTTTGCGGTAAACCTACTTATTAAATTTACTATTCTTAGGATAATATTTATATATCTTCTAATGCAAGAATAAAAACATCAGCCTACCAATGACTATTTGGCAGTTCTTTTGGTAATAACTAATGACATAACTGAGGCTGTGAAGAGTAAGTCTGCACACAACAAAAGATTACACCATCACTGATACAGAGGAGGCCAGGAAGATGCTGAGGACTGGAGCACCTCTCCTGCCGAGACGGGATGAGAGAGCTGGGGTTGTTCAGCCTGGGGAAGAGAAGGCTTCAGGGAGACCTTGCAAGAAGGAGTCTTCCAGTGCCTAAAAGGGGCCTATAAGAAACCTGGAGAGGGACTTTTTACAAGGACAGGCAGTAACAGGACAAGGGAGAATGGCTTTAAACTGTCAGAGGGGAGATTTAGATTAAACATTAGGAAGAAATTCTTCCCTGTGAAGGTGGTGAAGCTCTGGCACAGGTTGCACAGAGAAGCTGTGGCTGCCCCATTCCTGGCAGTGTTCAAGGCCAGGCTGGACAGGGCTTGGAGCAACCTGGTCTAGCGGAAGGTGTCCCTGCCTGTGGCAGGGGGCTGGAACTGGGTGAGCTTTAAGGTCCCTTTCAACCCAAACCATTCTATGATTCTATGATACATACTGGAACCATCTCCACCTGCTTTGCAGAGGCCGTGTTCTGGGGCATGGCAACTGGAACAACCTCCCAACCCTGCAAGCATTACTGCAACATGTAGATTTGAGGCAGAGAGCAAGAGCAGCATGCAGCAGATTTACTACTGCCCCCTCTATATATCATACAATCACATGTGAAATAAAGCAGTGAGTTATGAAGCAGGACATTAACTCTACACGCCCACTATAAACTTCTGAAAGAAATCTGCTGTAGCGTCACAGGAAATCCAACTATACCCACAGGAGTTGGCTGAGAAATATACTGACATTGTTTTATCCAGAGTTACTTTTACAGTGACAACTGATGATGGAGACTTCCCTGACTAAAATAAACTGAGAAAGAAAAGGAAACTCCAGCAAGCAGTAACTAAACTGTGTTTTGTGTTCATAATGTCTCATAAATGAAAATAGAAACTTGACATTTAAAAACAAAAGTATAAATTAAGCACTTCAGCCCTTTTAAATGTTCAGTCACTGGCAATCAGAATAAACCTTAGCTTTGGACTTGCAAATCACTTCTAATATTGACAACAAAGAAAAAGCAGCAGTTTTAGGAAAAACAAACAAACAAAACCTATGCAAATTCCATTGCTTGCCCATACTTCATTGCTGTGTGGTACTACTGCAACTCAGTAAAAGAGCAATATTTCTTTTTGCTTAAATCAGCATAAATTAAATCATGTTACCAGAAACAGCCCATTAATAACACTATATTAATGAGAGAAACACACTGTCTTGATACCACAGTCCTTTAAAATGTACTCAAAAAGAAGTTTCCTCTGCAAGGAAACTCAGGTAAAGCAGCTTCCACATTTTACAGCCCAGGCAGCCATAGAGCAGAGGCTGCAGCCCAAGGCAGAGACGGGAAAGGAAAAAAGTACTTCATGAAGCACTTGCTCTATGCAGTGTTAAGCCCTGCTGTCTGGCAAAGCATGTTGTTTGTACAGCCTTCAGGAGCTCAGCTCTCCGGGAAGTTCTGGGAGCTCCTGACTCAGAGGAGTCAGAGACTCACAGGATTGAATTGTTGGGTTGAAAACTGGGTGCACAAGACTGCTCCCACCCAAAGAGACTGGGATCTCATGGAGCAGGGGGGCACATCATGACTCTCTTGCTCTTTGCTTAGGTGACCATGGCTGGTCCCACCTCTCCACCCTCCCTCAATTTCCTCACCTATAAAATGGAGGTGATGAAACAGTGCTTTTCGCTAAAGAGTGGCGTTCAAAACCGGGAAGGGTTGACTGCTCTTTGAGATGTACAGATGTCATAACTCAGCTCTGACTTGCTCACTCCCATGTTCTTAGAAAAATAATGTGTCATAACCCATAAAACAATGAGTCATAACCCAGCTCTAACTTGTTTACTCCATTGCTCATAGCAAAATAATGCAAGGAAGACTGATGCTTACAGGGAAGGAATTTAAGCAGTATAGTATAGTGTTCCCCTCTCCTGTATTTTTATTGTAACATAACAACAGGTATTTTAATAAGCCTTTATTACAATAGAGCAAGGCTTTACTGTGGTTCAGCAGCTCAAATTTTACTCAAGCTTTTGTCAGCATTTGGACACCCTTTAATCTTTTAAATTATTACGTCTTACACATATAAAAACCCATAAAACATAACAACATTCCAGCTTACATTCTCTATGACAAACGTCCATTCTTTGTCTTCAAATTCTTCAGCATGGGGATCCTAGAAAAACAAACCAGAGAACTTAAGTCTAAAAGTAATCCAGGGTGCAAGAAACTGCAACTCAGCCAAGACTTTCATATACTCATAAAAATATTTTTGCCCACTGAAGATGACAGAGGGAATTATTTTAGTTAGGATGTAGGCTTCAATGGATGTCAATAAGATGACGAACAAGCTGCAGTAAAACTGCCAGTGAGGATTTAATAACACTCCTCCAGATACAAACATGAAGCTGATTCTGATAAAGGTTTGTGATTCTGTTTCTTTTCACCCAAGAGCAAGAAAAAAAAATCCCAAAACATGAATCTCTCAAATTCTTAAGTCCCACCTCCCAAAAACCACAACAAATCTACATCTTGCTGGTATGAGAAGGCATACATCAACCACAGCATAACCCCCACCTCCACATGCCCAGGCTTCATCAGCACAAGTAGAGATCCAAAAGTCAAAGCTTCAGCATAGCACTTCATTTGACTGCAGATTTCTTAAATACCTATCATCCTTACTTTACAACATTTCTGTTGTATCGCACGTGAGGAGCTTTTTTACCAACAGGAAGATAAATAACAATGAGGTTCATATATTTGGCATTTGTTTCCAATTTAATGAGCTTTCAATCTGCTGGTGTGGTCTGTATTGTCTGAAATTAAGGTAACAGTGGAGACATTAAGTCATTCTTTTCATGCCTGTATCAAGGATCCCACTTAAAATACATCAATTTATCATCCAATCCTAGTTCTGAGCAACTGTTATAAAATAACTTCTACTCCTCTTGCAAAACAGCTTCTCACACTAAGAGAATGTGGCTTTAGGCTTTCTTCAGACACGAAGCCTAATTTTACTATACCTCAATTTTATCCCATTATTTCCAGTTATAGGAAACCACTCCATTACTCCTTTGCCTCTGATGCTTAGCATGCTTTACACATATGCACATAAATGCCACTTCCCCATAATCAGCATTTACCATCATTATGTATAACACCCCTCAGCACCTGCAGTTTTCTTGCTATTATTTGGAGCCTGCTCCCGATACCACACCAAGCAATGAAACAATCCCATTTTGCTGCTGTAAATTAACAAAATGGATCAAGATATTTTACTTCTACTTTCTCTCCATTTGTACCATTTTTCCTTTCTTTCCAGACTGCTACAAGCCTCATATTCAATCTTTTCAACACACATTACCTTAGCCTTTGCTTTAACCATTGTTACTGCATTTAGTTTTCCTTGAAGTCACACACACACAGAGTCAGTGTATCACTGTACTACAGATGGTTCTTTTAACTAGTTCTCATCAAATGCACAAAAGATTTTTGTAACAAGCTTACAATAAAATAGTAAAAATAGTAATTTTCTTATTTTTCCAGCACACAAAAAACTTGAAAAACATGCTCTTAAATAAACCTCACATTTAAATGAACTACTGTAACATTTCTAGGAGGATATTAGAGAGGTGATTGAGATCAGACATTAGGAAGTTCTTCCCTGCGAGAGTGGTGAGGCCCTGGCACCGACTGCCCAGAGAAGCTGTGGCTGCCCCATCCCTGGCAGTGTTCAAGGCCAAGTTGGACAGGGCTTGGAGCAACCTGGTCTAGTGGAAGGTGTCCCTGCCTGTAGCAGGGGGCTGGAACTGGATGAGCTTTAAGGTCTCTTCCAACCCAAACCATTCTGTGATTCTATGATATCATCCTCTCCCCTCCATTGCAGTCGTTTCTACAAAGTCCTGCAAAGGGGGTTCACTGCTTTGCATACCCCTTGTAAAACACTGGCTCTCCTTGCATGAGGAGTCCTGCTGGGCTTCAGCACGCTCACAGAAGAAATTCAGCACCACATCGTACTGCCGGTACCATTATTACCTAAAGTATTTAATAGCTATAACCACAAGCATCATATGCAATATGTGTTTTAAAATGCATTACTCCAACAACAGGATGTTTCAATGAAAAAAATAGAAGATACTTCTAAAAACTTGTCAAAACTGATGTGGTTTGATATATAAATCTTTCTAATTAAAAAAAAAGTAGAATAATTTAAATACTGTACATGAGTGTAAGAACTATATTGTACCACTAGCCATAAAGACAGATGGGCAAGTAGATACATACGAAATTACATGACTGACTATTTCCATGCTCCAACTAATGCACTTCTAATATCAGGTTATTATGTACTGATCGCAATAATCAGGTTCATGGAGTTCTGTATTACACAGATAACATGCACGATACCTGCTGGTTTGCTGCATCCTGTATAAATTCCAAAGATATAATCCAGCTATTAAATTCTTATCACTTTCAAGAGTTAACCTGGGGCATTACCTTTTTGTTTAATTGCTTCCTTTGACACATCATAAAATGACATGATGAGATTTAATAGAATCATTAATCACTTTGTATTTTAATAAATCACTCCATAGTAAGTGACTAAACTCTTACATATTTCACTCTGCTCAGTTTTTTTCATAACTCCACCAAAAGCTTAAAGCAAGCTTGCAGGCTGACATCAAACTGCAAAGTCAGGGCCCAGTATTTTATCCCATGTAACAAATAAATCAATTGCTGTTTCATTTATGCAAGGCAATAATCTATAAAGAAAAACAAAGCTCCTCTGTCAATGGCAACAAAATTGATTCACATCTCTAAAGGCCACAGAATCAGGTACTCTGCTGAGTATTTCTGACAATCTGAGACAACAAATTCTGCTCTCTGCAAAGGTAACTATACGGGGTGGGTGCATTGGCTGTGGCCAGTGGTACAAGGCTCAATAAGGCAAAGTGCTGGGTCCTGCCTTGGGCCATAACAACCCCATGCCACACTCCAGGCTTGGGGAAGAGTGCCTGAAAACCTGCTCAGCAGAAAAGGACCTGGGGGTGCTGACTGATAGTGGCTGAACGTGAGCCAGCTTGTGCCCAGGCAGCTGACAAGGCCAACAGCATCCTGGCCTGTATCAGCAATAGTCTGGCAGCAGGGCCAGGGCAGTGATCATCCCCCTGTACTGGTGAGGCTGCACCTTGAATCCTGTGTTCAGTTCTGGGCCCCTCACTACCACAGAGACATTGAGGTGCTGGAGCGGGGCCAGAAAAGGCGAATGAAGCTGGTGAAGGGTCTGGAGCACAAATGTGATGGGGAACAGCTGAGGGACCTGGGGGTGTTTAGTCTTGAGAAGAGAAGGCTCAGGGGGGACCTTATTGCTCTCTACAACTGCCTGACAGAGGATAGCGCCAGGAGGTGGCTGATGTCTTCACCCAAGCAATAAGCAACAGGACAAGAGGTAACAGCCTCAAGCTGTGCCAGGGGAGGTTTAGACTGGATATTAGAACAATTTCTTCACAGAGAGTGTGGTCAGGCATTGGAATAGGCTGCCCAGGGAAGTGGTAGAATCATTGTTCCTGGAAGCACCATCGTTCCTGGAAGCAATGGTTCAAAAACCATGGGGATGAGGCGCTCAGTGACACGGTTTAGTGGTGGGCTTAGCAGTCCTGAGGTAATGGTTGGACTTCATGATCTTAAAGGTCTTATTCAACCTAGTTGATTCTATGAAAATAATATTGCATAATGAAAAGACTTCTTAATATTCAACAATTTAGCGTGCACTTTAAAACAAGTTTTGAACACTGTTGAAAAATAAATGCCAGTGTATTGCCCCTAAACTCCCTGCCAACCACCCGGGATAACCAATAATTCAAATCTTCAAGGATTTCCCTAATGAACAGCCTTACCATGAGTTCAAAGGGCATGGAATATCCTAAGATATTAACACTTCATACTTTGCATATATAAGATAGTTCAGATTTAAAGACAAATCCAGATCACTATTCTTTTTAAAGCCACATTTCTTGTTAGTCTTCAAATGCATCTAGAAACAGAAAAGCCCAAATAAGCTTATGCATATAAGCCTCATCATTTCCTTGCAACAGACACGTAAGTGGCTTCACTATTCTCACTAAAACGCTTTTAATGGAAGCCCAGGGAGCAGCATGCACAGTCCTATTTCTAGCCAGCTTATAACTGTATTATGCAGTCAGCATTAACAGGTATTTATATGATTATAGTTACAACGCAGTTTCTATTGCAACCACCATTTCACCCTTTAGGCTAACATTTCCATGGGTGGTCTCCATAAAAAGTGATGTGTCTGTAAATGTGGCTAATCTTTCATCTATTTTGGATTTGAAGAGGGTAAATACCAGTAAAAAAACAAACCACATAACAATATATACTTCCCTCACTGGGTAACCCATATCCTCCATTAATCTCCCATAAAAGTCATGAGATGAATTGAATACACCTGACTACTCTTTAGAGAAAAAAAATGCCATCACAAAGAATGACAACCCTAGGAGTAATGGTTAGAGCAACCTTTGAAATTTTCACTGTATGAAAGCCCTCCCTGATAACACAGCACCCAAAACTTCACCACACCTGCAAGCAGATACAAGTAAACACTGAAAATGCACTGCTGGAAACACCTGAAGACAAGAGTTATAAACAGACCTCCTTCCCATCGTCCTTCCTGAAAGCAAATGATAATGAAAATTGCCTTAAAAGCTCAAGGAACAAACTGCCTCCAGTATTTTTCTAAGTATTTTGTCTCACACCTTGCTGTAACACAAACGGATTTGGCAAGACCCATTTTTTCCTGATAACACCCATTTTCTTTACCAACATACCACAGATGCAGAACTACTACAATCGATCCAATAGTCATTATGGTTTTACCTTGACTTGGAAACTGTATTTGGACAAATGGACTGAAGAGTTTGTTGTTCCTCCTCATTTTATTGTGTAAAAAGAATCATCATTCCTAATATTAAGAGATGGGCCCCACTTTCCTATTTCTCTTTCCATAAGCATTTGTCTCTCAGTATAACACTCCTTTTCAGTATCTCTAAGTTTTAGAGCCTTCTTTCCCTGTCTCCATCCTGCTTGTTCTTTTCTTTTGTTCTGGTAAGATATCTTAGTGTTCAAAAGTAACATTCAGGTGAGAAACCAATAGCA